TCGATGACCTCTCGAGGTCCCTTCCAGTCCTAGAATCTATGAATCTAAACAGGGGAGGGGTTCCGGGCTTGGAGCTCTGGCCAGGGAGAAGGAGAAAGACCTGACTGTATCAGTCAATCACAGGATGAGATGCAACCGTGTTCTTTTTTTAAAGCAGCTGTGATTCTAGGATGCATCAGGCAAGTATGCCCAGTCGAGACAGGGAAGTATTAATCCCATTGCACAAGGCACTGGAGCGCTGCGTGCAGTTCTGGTCACTTGTGTTCAAGAAAGAAGGATCCAGACTGGAGCAGGTGCAGTGACGGGCAGCTAGGCTAATCGCTGATTGGAGGGGTGGTCTCTGGAGAGGAGACTGGCTCGTTTAGCCCAGCACAACGAAGGCTCACGGGAGCTGATTGCCCTAGAAATACCTCAGTGTAAATGCCAGGGAGGGAGAAGAGCTAGTGAAGCTAAAGGACAGCGTTGGTCCAAGAACAAATGGGGACGAACTGGCAGGGAGTAAACTGAGGCAGGAAATGAGAAGCGGGTTTCTAACCTGGGAGGAGGCAGGTTCTGGACCAGCCTCCCAGTAGAAGCAGAGGGTGCAAACGAGCTCACGAGCTTAAAGGCGGAGCGTGGTGAGTTTTGTGATGGGAATGACGTGATGGGTGACGGCTGGCCACGGGGACTGGCATCGAAGACCCAGGAGGTCCATTTCGGCCCTTGCGTGATGGCTGCTGAAAGGTGGGACCCAGAGTGTCTTAAAGGGACCTGATTTGGGATGTGAGCCTGGGGCGTCAAACGCGTCCTCCATACCCCCACAGTGGGCTGGCTCCAGCCCCGACACAGCTCCGTTTCCATCCTCCCACGCCTGTGGGCTTCGCTTGGGCCCGTGGAGAGATTTGTGAGCTGAAAAGTGGCCCAGCTTGCACATGCACAAATGGGCTCACGCACGCTGGTGAGCACTCACGCACGCTAGCAAGCAAGGGTGCAGTGGTGCAGGCTCACAAGTGAGTGCCCATGTACTCTAGACTGTGCGGGTGCAGTGGCGTGAGCGCACCAGTGAGTGCTCAGGCACACTAGAAGGTGCGGGTGCAGTGGCGTGAGCACATCAATAAGTGTGCATGCACAGTAGTGGGTGTGGTGCAGTGGTGCGGGCACACTGGTGAGTGTGCATGCACACTAATGGGTGTGGGTGCAATGGTGCATGTGCACCCGTGAGTGCTCGTGCACACTAGAGGGTATGGGTGCAGTGGTGCATGTGCAGTGGTGAGCCCTTGTGCATGCTAATGGGCATGGGTGTGGTGGCATGGGTGCACCAGTGAGTGCTCACATGCAGTAGTTGGCGTGGCGCAGTGGTGCGGGCACACTGGTGAGCGCTCAGACATGCTGATGGGTGTGGTTGCAGTAAGCCCTCGTGCATGCAGTGGCATGGGTCCATGCAGTGGCACGGGTCCATGCAAAAGGTCCATGCTGGGCTAGGCAGAAAGGGCAGGGCAGCCTCTCCCTCCTCCGACAGGAGCTCCCCTTCTCAGGGACCCTAAATCCCCCCTATAAGCGCTAAGGGCCCAGCTGAGCTCAGTCGGCCGTCGCAGGGGGTGCAGACAGCTGTGTCATGGCACCAGGCGGCTGCTGGCTTAAAGCACTGGCCAGCAACCCAAAGCTGGCCTGGACGGTGCAGCCTGCCTGCCCCAGAGGCGGTGATGGGGGCAGAGGCCACTGCGGCTTGGCGGCTGCCTGCCCAGGTTGTTGCATTTAATTTCCATTGTTTGAAAGGGATAGAAAAATGGCTCCTGTGCTGGGTCCTGCTGAGCTCCCCGACTAGCTGGGCCCCTGCTCTGCAGCTCTGGTCAGGGCAGCTCTGCTGGGAGGCTGACCTGGGACACAGGAGACCTGGGTTCTCTTCCCAGCTCTGCCATGGCAGGGGGGACCTCGGGCGAGTCCCTTTGCCTCGCTGTGACTCAGTTTCCCCATCTGTAAGACGTGGTTAATGACACTGTGACCTCCTTTGTGAGGTGCTTTGAGCTCTCCTGCTGCAGTAGGTAAGGGCTGGCTGTCATTGGTGATTGGTGGAGACCGGCCTGGCTGGGCAGGGGTGGGTTTCCTGTGTTCCCAGACCAGGCCCCATTGCCATGGGGTGCGTGCCTGTCACGCTGCCCCCCAGCATGTACAGGAGACCGAGGCTTGCCCGGGGGGCTGGGCTGGAAACCCTTCTGTTGCTGGCGCTTTCCCGCTCTGCTCAGGCTCGGCGTCCCGTGTGCGGGGGGGCTGAGGGGTGAAGCATTGGCCGGGGCCGGGACCAACAGCTGCTCGACTTGCACAACTGGTTTGGGTGGCACGGTTGTGAACTTGTTGGGTGGTTCTTAGGCAGGGGAGGAGCCACAGGTGCCAGAACAATGGGCTGGGGGCCATTTGATTCCGCTCCGGCAGGGCTGGGGGTGTCCGCAGGGGGTGCGGGTGCTGGTCTCTGTGTGGGGAGAAGGCGGCCGGCGCAGGGAGGCTGTATAGCCCGGCGGAGGGGTGCAGCGGAGGCAGCAGCACCATGGGGAATGGGAGGAGGGCCGGGGCTGAGTGCCGCGGGCCTGGCCAGCAATGGTGCCTGGGGTGCTGGGCGCTGCACAGGCAGTAACAGCCCCTTCCCACCAGAACTGGGACAGGCTGGGGCACGGGACAGGGCGAGGCAGCCCCTGGGCTGGCTCTGACGTTGGCTGGGGTTTAACGAGGGGGGCAGCCGAACAGGGGGCAGGGCAGCTGGACAGAGCCTGAGGTGAGCAGACTGGCTGGGTTGGAGTGAATGGCCGGTCAGCGTCCGGGAGAAAGTCCAGCCCACAGTGTAAAACGTCCTGGTGACGAGTGTCCTGCAGCTCTGGCTGCATCTTCCCTGCCCTTCCCCGGCCCCCGCTCGCCCGCCTATTCCTCGCGCTGTGTCCCCTCACCTGTCCCCTGGCATCACGGCTCTGGCTGCATCTTCCCTGCCTCTCCCCCGGCCCCTGCCCCTGCCTGCCTATTCCTCGCGCTGCGTCCCCTCACCTGTCCCCTGGCATCACAGCTCTGACTGCATCTTCCCTGCCTCTCCCCCGGCCCCCGCCCGCCTATTCCTCGCACTGCGTCCCCTCACCTGTCCCCTGGCATCACGGCTCTGGCTGCATCTTCCCTGCCTCTCCCCCGCCCGCCCGCCTATTCCTCGCACTGCGTCCC